CTCTCAGTGGGTCTGGGGTCTCTCAGTGTGTCTGGGGGTCTCTCAGTGGGTCTGGGGGTCTCTCAGTGTGTCTGTGAGTCTCTCAGTGGGTCTGGGGTCTCTCAGTGGGTCTGGGGTCTCTCAGTGGGTCTGGGGTCTCTCAGTGTGTCTGGGGGTCTCTCAGTGGGTCTGGGGTCTCTCAGTGTGTCTGTGAGTCTCTCAGTGGGTCTGGGGTCTCTCAGTGAGTCTGGGGTCTCTCAGTGGGTCTGGGGTCCCCACCTGGGTGGTGCTGTAGGTCCAGCCCTGCTGGACCCTGTCCCGGGCCCAGACGTTGTGGCCGTTCTCGGCCAGCCGATCCACCAGGGTCAGCTGCGCCGGCGTCAGCCGGACGTGAGACAGGTCCAGCGGCGCCGGCTTGTACCCGTTGGACATGGTGTACCTGGACGGGGGGGGACACACCTGTGGGACCCCCCTGGGGCACCCCGAGACCCCCCAGGGGCACCCCAAGACCCCCCACCCACAGGGAACCCATCAAACCCTCCCCAAAGCCCCTCAGCGGTCTCCAAACCGGAACATCCCAACCCAAACCGGGACATCCCAACCCAAACTGGGACATCCCAACCCAACCCTCACCTGCTGGACAGGTGGGGACACACCCTGAGACCCCCACGGACACCTCAGGACCCCCAGAACTCCCCCCAGCCATGGGGGACCCCTGGAAGGACCCCCCAAAGCCCCTCGATGGTCTCCAAACCAGAACATCCCAACCCAAACTGAGATATCCCAACCCAAACTGGGACATCCCAACCCAACCTTCACCTGCTGGACAGGTGGGGATGGGGGGACACACCTGTGGGATCCCCCAGGGGCACCCCGAGACCCCCATGGGGCACCCCGAGACCCCCCACCCACAGGGAACCCATCAAACCCTCCCCAAAGCCCCTCAGTGGTCTCCAAACTGGGACATCCCAACCCTCACCTGTTGGACAGGTGGGGATGGGGGGACACACCTGTGGGACCCCCCCGGGGCCCCCCGAGACCCCCACGGACACCTCGGGACCCCCAGAACTCCCCCCAGCCATGGGGGACCCCTGGAAGGACCCCCCAAAGCCCCTCGATGGTCTCCAAACCAGAACATCCCAACCCAAACTGGGACATCCCAACCCAAACTGGGACATCCCAACCCAACCTTCACCTGCTGGACAGGTGGGGACACACCTGAGGGACCCCCCCGGGCACCCCAAGACCCCCACGGACACCCTGAGACCCCCACAGACACCTCGGGACCCCCCAGAACTCCCCCCACCCACAGGGACCCCGGAAGGACCCCCCAGAAGCTCCCCCAGGACACCAAAACTGGGATTTCCCCCAAACTGGGACCCCAAACTGGAAGTGCCCCTACAGAGACCCCCCCAAACTGGGATCCCCCCCACCCCAAACTGGGAACCCCCAGAGCCCCCCAGACCCCCCCAGAGCCCCCCAGACCCCCCC